AGAGGTTTTTAAATATACTGCCGCCAAGAATTTACAACACTTTTCCACCCACGTTCCTACAATCCCTGCCCCCTAATTTTCCATCTCTAATATTTTTTTCAAAACGTCAGAAAACGTTTAAACAATTGTCATTTTTGCTTGTGGTCTTTTCCTCCTGCGCCACTGGACAGATTTTCAAAAACTACATAGCATTTTTCATCACTTTTTCATAAAATGTGTTTGTATCTGGTTTTGTCAACCGACCGACTAGTTTAAGTTTATCCATATAATCAAAAATACTAGAGAAGGTGATGTATATACCGATGAATGATACCACCAGCTAAACAATACGAATTCAGGAAAGGGTGCAATACTGCAGGAGCGTTATTAAACAGATAACGTCGTAAAGGCTTGGGACATGATAAATCATTTAATTTCATTAGCTAAATTTCAATACTACGGTTTTCCTGACTCTTCAATTGGTATGATCGATAGCCTTATAAAAAACAGACCCCAAAAGTTTGTATTGACATGATCTCATCACCAGAAACTTTAATATCCTCGGAAGTGCCCCAACAGTGCTTGGAATACTCCATTTTATTCTTTACATGGCTGATCTGGACAAAGTAAGATATTGCATGCTTAGTGTTACTTGATACAAAGGTTTTTGATACTATGGAACCATCTATTCTTGTGAAAAAGCTTATATATTTTGTTTTTTCGGAATCTGCAATTCATTTTTGATTAAGTTATTTCACTGACAGGAGTCAGATGGTTGTGATTGGGTCAAGTATCTCGGAGGAGATACCAGTTAAACTAGGGGTACCACAGGGTTCCATTCTGGGACCATTATTGTTCTCAATTTACATTTCTGACTTCCACGAGTACGTTGAACACTGCAGTATTCATCACTATGCTAACGACACTCAATTGTATTTTGGCTTTGGTATTAAAGATTTAAAAAATGGCAAACATTTGATTAATAATGATTTAATGAACGCATCTAACGTATCTTGTGCCCATAATCTCAAAATTAACCTGTTAAGATCATCCGCAGTTATATTTGGACCAAAAATCAAAAAAAGCCAGGCAAAACCATTACTATCATTGAGCATTTTAGATCAACCGATCCCTATAAAAAATGAGTGCAAGAACTTAGGACTCTCGATTTATTCTGATTTGAGGTTTGAAGAACACGTTAGTCAACTGTGTCGAACATTATTCGGTGTCTTGAAGCAATTATTTCCTCATAGGAAAATTATGAACACTGGTCTCAAGCTGAAGTTGTGCCAAATCTTAATAAGGTCTAGAATTCACTACTGTGACTGCATTTATGGGTGTGCACTAAGATCGATTGAGATAAGGAGACTTCAGACTATTTAAAATGCATGTCTCAGAATTGCTTGTGGAGTGAGAAAATTTGAGTCAGTGTCACATAAGTATCGTTAGTTGGGTGTTCAACGTAATCACAACAGAAGCCCTCCATATCTATCAACGAAATTTGTCAGATACTCAGATGTTAATCAACTGAACACAAAGAATAAGCATATCTTGGTTATCCCGAGACATTCAACATCTCTATTTAAAAGGTCGTACGTACATACTGCTATCAAGCTATACAACGCGTTGCGTACCGAGTTCAGTCACTACTCTATAAAGAATTTTGAAAAAAGATTGAAGCATTTTATCTCTGATTTCATTGCCCAGTAAGTAGACTATGGCCATGATTAGGGACTCGTTACAGGTTTTTTTTTTAACTTTCTTGTTTTCATTGGGATTAGAAAATTTAAATAAATATTTGTTGGGTTAAGTTGAAAAACGCTTTTTAGCGACACTTCGCCTTTTTATACTCTGTATAAATAAAGCCGGATTATTATTATTATTATATAATCCTTTGACGATGATTCTGAATTATTCAACAATTTGAATAATAACAAATATATAGCTGTACAATCTCAAATAAATGAGGATTTAAAGGCTATTGATAATGCCGCAGAGAGTCATAACCTCCGTTTAAGTTCTACAGAACCAGAAGTTATCATATTCTCTCCCAAAAAAATAGGGCAATATATTAAAAGATATAAAAATACATCTGTGGATGACGAAATAATTCGAATGCATGAATCAGTCGAAAATTTAGGTATTTTTTTCGACGAGTGTCGAAATTCCATTTCACATGTGAATCATATTACTAAAAGTTGTTTTTCAGAACTTCGCCAGTTAAAAATCAATAAACAAATTTTATACAACAAAAATAAGAAAATTCTATTCCAAACGTTGACTGTTTCATACATATTGTGATTGTTTACTATTCATCCTTAGATCCGGTATCTAAAACGTTTGCAAAAAAATCTAAATTCTTGCTGTAGATAGGTAGGAAGCTTAAAAAATTACGGCCATATTTCGATAAGAAACCAGGTTGGCTTATATAAATATCAGTTGCTATGTTGTATTTATAGAGTCTAAGTTACCTCATTATCTTCTTTTCTGAAGGAAAAGCTAATAAATCGTATGCGTATTCATTGTAGAGGCTTCGTTTTTGAACGAAAAGCTAATAAATCGTATGCGTGTTCATTCTAGGGACATCCGCTTCCCAAATACATTCACCATGTCTATACACAGAACTTCATTTTTCCAAAAAGGCTTCACCTTCAATGCGACCATCCATATCATTCATTACCCCCTAGAATAAAATCTTTGACTTTTGACGGCTTTACAAAGCATATCAAGAATGTACTTTTAGAAAATAAAATTAAAAATACTTATCTTTGACTTCTGCTAACAAAAACAGTATTTATTCAGTTAACAGAGTGGTTACATCAAAGATACAGGGTGTTCCTTAATGATATGCGAATATTTAAGGGTGTGAATCTACATGAAAAATTAATGTTAGTTTGCTTTATAAACTACGGTCCAAAAATGTTTCCTTAGAAAACCTCGGGGTGTTGAAGTTTTAGGAAAAAATGGAAACTAATTAATATTTTCAGAACCGCTTCAGATATTTCACTGATATTTAGTACGTAGTGGAAGTTAATGACGTTGAATATTTTTCAATGCAAAAATAATGTTTAGCTTTAACAGTGGCGTGCGTACGGGTATTGACTTCGTTATTTTTTAAGATAAAAATAGTACGCCACTTGCCAAATAAAAAGTTTTGAATTTCCCGTTCAATTTAAAATAAATGATCTTTCTTAAATAGTTTTCCTTCGATGCGTCATTTTTGATTAAAAAAAATTTATATTAATTTAATTAGAAAAATTAAACACATTAGGGGTAATGAACAACAACAACTGACAACATAAACATGACATCAAAACCAACGAATTGATTACAAAAATTGTTGAAAATGGCCCCCTTCACTTAGTATGCATGCTTCTGCCTTCTCATGGAATTGCGCACTCGTTGAAGTATCCCTGGAGTGTTCGTTATTCTATCACAAGCTGCAACTATACTTTCTCTTAATTCCTCTACAGTGTTAATGAGACTTGTGTACACTAGTGTCTTAAGATAGCCCGACAAAAAGAAATCTAAACTGTTGAAGTCTGGGGACCTTGGCCATCCTTGGGGCCTATCCAATGATTTGGATAAACAGTTTGTAAATAATTACGAACTGCTACACTGGAATGCGCTGGTGCACCATTATGCATGTACCACATATTGTTTCTGATTACTAACGGAACATCATCAAGCGGCAAAGGCAACTCCTTTTGAAGGAAATTGAGGTAAGTATGTCAGTCACGTCGTCTCGGCAGGAAGAGTGGACCAATAAAGTGGCTGCCAATAATTCCTGCCCAAACATTAACCGAAAATTGGTGTTGAAAATGGGTTTCGGATACGGCATGGGGAACTTCTCCTGCCCACAAATGATTATTGTGGAAATTCTGAATGGCATTTTGAGAAAAATTAGCTCTGTCTGTGGACAGAATCATTGATTTAAATTGCGGATTTTGTGTAACTTCTTGAAGATACCACTGACAAAAGGTCACACGCCTTGGAAAATCAATGGAAAGTAATGCATGTACTCTTAAAATATGGCAAGGATATAACAAGAAATCCACTAAAATTCTCCAAACAATATGATGGCAAATTTTTAAGTGCCTAGCGATCTTCCCCGTACTCGTTTCAGGACCTTCTTCGACTTCGTGCAGCACTGCTTTCTCTATTTCAGGTGTTCTCACACTTAGAGGTCTACCTTCAGATGTTCTTTTTCGGACAGAACCAGTTTCAACAAGACGACGGTGAATATTAGAAAAGGTTCGACTATCTGGCAAAGCACGATCGAGATATCTCTGGTGATAGATCCGTCTGGCTTGCTCACCATTACCTTTGGCAAGGCCATATACGTAATGCATTTCCACCATTTCTGCATTTGAATAATTCACCATTATTAACAAGATTGCAAAAACTAAATAATGAAAAAGATGTCACAGCGAACGGATTTGAATAACAGAGACTTGTCAGATGTCAAAACCCAGAGCAACTCGATATTTATTGCTAAATTGAATTCTTCAATTATTACATTAATTTTCTCGGACAATATAACGGTTCTTATTTTTTTACTCAAAAATGGCGTATCGACGGAAAACAATTCAGGAGAGAACATGTGTTTTAAATTGAACGAGGAATTCAAAAATAATTTTTTTTGGCAAAAAATCATTGGCATACCATTTTTTTCTTAAAAAATATGGAAGTCAATACTCGTACGCCCGCCACTGTAAAAGTTAAAAATAATTTTTCCATTGAAAGATATGCAACTTTATTAACTTTCACTATGTACTAAATATCAGTGACGTATCTGAAGCGGTTCTGAAAATATTAATTTTCATTTTTTTTCTAAAACTTCAACACGAGTTTTTGTAAGGAAACATTTTTGGACCATAGTTTATAAAGCAAACTAACATAAACTTTTCATGTAGATTCACACGCTTAAATATTCGCATATCATTCAGGAACACCCTGTATATGATACACTTTTGATATATTATGAGCCTTATTGTCATTTATCTATTTTATTCATGTTTGTATTTATAATAGTAATAGCTGAAGGTCAACTTCGCTCTTCTAAGACGTTTATTATTATTATTACTATTATTTTTTGTCTAGACGCATTAATAATAACACTTAAAATGCATCAACTAATTTATTATACGTAGTAGTTCTTTTGTTTTAACTCGTTTCCATGGTAATAGCGTCCTTGTCCTGTAACTTGTGTGTTCGTTTGTGCTTATCAGTTGGTAACCGTAGATAATAAGGTGTAGAAAGAAAATGAGAGCTTCACAACCTATAATAAAGAAGACATTGTTTATTTTATTTTATTTTTATTTTATTTTAGTTTGTTTGTTAGTAAGGTTGCTATGATTCGAGTGCTTCGTCCCAGCTTCTGAAATATAGTTAGTCTAGGAGTTTTATTCGAAAAATAGGTATAAGCATGATCCGCCGACATTTCATGCTAATTATATAATTTGGAGTCCCGCATATTCCTTTAAGCCTTACTTTAAGGAAACGTATACATTTACCTTTAAGAAAGTTTCGTAGTTCAATGTAAGTACTTTGAAGGCTGTAATCTTAGCTGGAACCATTGATTTCATCAAAACAAAAACAATGTCTTTCTCTGACTTCATACAGGATGTTTCATTCCAACGACTGAGGTAGACACTTTCCATCAACTGGGTAGACTGAAAATTACACTTCAATTCAATTCAATAGACATAGACCGATCACTGTATATGAATTGCCAGTTTAGTAAATTGTAAGACTAACCGATCGAGGTGACCAATAAAGTTTCATCAAAAAAACTATAAAAACTGACAGGCTACAAAAACGTTTTTCCAACAAATTGCTTGAGTTCTTTCTCAAAGGATTTCTTAATGGTGTTTACTCTTATATTTGTATAATCGGGTAGACGATTGAAACTTTTTGGTCCCGTCACAGTGAGCTAACTTGCAGTTGTATTACATCTGGCAAATGGAACTTGCAGTGCATTTTTGTGTCTCGAATAGTACCTACTAATGGAAATCTGTTTCCATAGTTGAGAATATATAAACATAACTCTAAAATATACAGACACGTAGGAGGTGAATTTTTTGAATTAATTAAACTCTTTAAACATAAATCAGTATTAGAAATACCAGCAATACTTCTAAAAATCTTCTTTTGAACTGAGATTATTTGAGGTGTGTTTAATACTGTAGGTAAGTTTCTAAACATGGAAATAAGCAAAGTTAATTTGGTAATGAATGTTTCACATTGAAACATCTATGATGACGCGTCTTCAATTTACAGATGACCCAAAGATCTAACTAAATTGCACTCGCTCGTTTGAAGTACTGCGCCGCCAACCGTGAGCTGTATATGTTGCAGACATTTTGTTTCCTCTAAGTTCGTGTGACGGTGTAAGTCTGTCCGTCTGTCTGACTGTCGAACGCAGAGGTACCACCCGACGGATCCCTAAGGCGGGGCCTGAAGGTGTGCTTGAGAGTTTAGACCTTGGGCCTTCGTGGTAGTTTGAGTATAAAAAAGTTGAGGAACTATTTTAAGACTGATAAAATATGCTGTATGTACTGGTATGAGGGGCACTTGAACCTATGAAAATTTTGCGAACCTTGGAAAAAAGTGAAGAAAACCTTTGATTTGCGCTGGTGGTTCCGCTGTTGTTGCTGCTTGTCTCTCTGCAGGTGTTGCTGGTACCGCTGCTGATGTTGCTGGTGGCGGTGCTTCATCAGTAGCAGAGGTACCAGTAACACCAACAGCACCACTAAGACCAGCAGCACCACCACCAGTGATACCAGCAACCAGCAGAATAAGTAGCGCGACTAGTGGGACCACGAGAACAGATCAACGGAAACCGATTTTTGCCACGGCTCAGAATGTGCAACCAGGTTCAACTGCTCCTTCTAGTACAGTCCGTCTCAATGCGCTTACTGATGACTGCTGGAAAGCATGTAGTTGCCATAGTTACAGAGTCCCAAAGTAGACAAATAGACAGCCTCTGCTGGCAGCTTGACTGTATCACGTATTATATTTGCCATACTCAACGATTTAGTACTGTATTGTGACTTTACACGTACTAGCAGTATAGGGATATTTGGTTCTATCGAAATAAGCTTCTTCAAGGCCATTCATTTAACCTTCTTTTAATGTTTACTTTCCGAACATGATACCTTCTGTTAAAATTTGATTTACTATCAAGATGCTTTCTTTTGAAGTGTGATTTACTATCGAGAAGCCTTCTTTTAATTGAATACTGACCCGTCCAGCGCCATATTACTTTTGGTTTTCCGCTGTGATTTTGGTTGTGTGTGGACGTTTTTTTCCGTCAACTTCCAGACTTTGGGATATTAACTCCCCAAACACCAGTTTATGGAGTATACTACCCTTTTATTTAGTACCTTACGTTTAGTTGTGTTGGTTAGGGTTCTATCCGTCTATTTTGTAATGGGATTTTAACCTCCAGCGTGGAAAGCCATTGCGGAGAATCACCATTCACACTCCTCCAGCTTTGCTTTGTAGCTGCCTTGTAGCTGTTTCTCAGCTGATTTTGTTGGAAGCCATACCTTCCCTTTGACAAAAAAACCCTGATGTGAACAGGTGAAACATCATTGCAATTGGGTATTTTATAGATGTTGATATATTGATTGTTGCTGACTGAAATTTTTAGAGTGATCTTGATTTTGTTTGGCATTTTACGTATTCAAATATAGGGCAGTGCCATATGTCACCATCTTTTGGGTTTATTACATTACATTAACCATGATTTTGAATTTTGAGCTGCCAGAACTTATTTTAGAACAAGTGATAACTTCCTGAGAGTATATCACTTTGGTATATTTTTATCTTTTATTGCACTCGCAGAAAGAAAAGTAGTTTTCTTGTGAAAGAGACTGTACATGGATTTTTTACCAAGTTTTGAGTATTTTAAATATGTAGTTCTGTCTCAGACAGTGAATAGAGAGTTTTAAACAGTATTTTTCTCTCTAGGGTTTTTTATACCCTGGATTTTGAGAACGAGGCAAGCAGCCCCTACCTTGTGACGTTCCTTTCATCACTGCTCACTACTGGCCACTGGTTTTTGACCTGAGAGCTTGTGAGCTGAGGACATCTCAGCTGCGCCTAGAGCTGTAACTGGAAGAAGATCATTCCAGATAAGACCACTATCCAGCTAAGTTTAGGTACAGGCGTTAAGATATTTGTAAAGCCTTCGGTCTAATAATTTTATTGTCATGGAGTTTTGAATAACATCTTTTCTTTTAGCTTGCACTCCAGTCGTGGAGCATATGTGCTGTTTGTTTTGATAACATATTGTGATTCTTTTTCTTAATATCATGTTTTATATGGCTCTCTGTGTACAATTAATTAGGTTTTATCATTACTATTGTATTCTTTTCTCTGTGTGGTGGTCAAGCAAAACACGTTCCCACTAACATATCGGGGATTTGTGACTTAATCCGTATTGAGCCACTGACGTTCTTAACCTCCCCACTACTCTCCGCTTTATTGAGCTATGGTCTAAATTTTCACGCCACTTAACAGCTGTTTTGCATTGACTGATCCTTAGATTTCATTTATAGTAATTTATTAATTTATTAATTAATAAAAGAAGGAAAGAGGAATCACACCACCATTTTCTCTCATTTATAAAACAAAGGCGTGGCAAGGACAAAAAGTGATAGTGGAGTATAGGCGTGATGGTTTCTATCGTGAAATGTGTGTCATGCGTGGTCAACTGAGATTTGACAAACGTATTTCGCTGTCATCACTTATCGGATCAAAGGGAATTTACTGTCAGTTTGAAATGGTTCCTAACCACAAATAGACTGGACGTCTGATATTTTCATTAATATTCGTTAGCACAAATATTTTACTAGGGCATCCGCTAGGTGACGACAACATCGCACATTTAGCGAATAGCCACAAAGTTATCGGTTTTGCGGATGACATTACTATTCTCTATAAAAGTAACCAGTGGCATACACAAATAACCAAAATCGGAAATGATTTCAAAACGTTTATAGATCTCTTTTCGGATTCAACTATAACAATGAATTACAAAGAACGCACGATATAGCATTTTTGTGACTATAGGCTCTTACCACAATTTAGTAAGCTTGAATTTCGTACAAGCAGTGGTCTCAAAGTGATTCAATCAACCGATAAAATGAAATACATAAAACGTAATTTTGGACAAACACGTTAAATGGAATGCCCATACAGCCTGGCGAAGGACTACTTCAGAGATATTCCGGATCAAACATACAAGGGTTGTTTCAGCAATATGGTTCCCAACGCTGCAACTTTACCGCGTATGTCGCTAGGTGAAGTCTGGCAACATCGTCGTATTCGTCGGTTCCCTCACCACCGATCCCAACAAGAAGCGCGTATTGGTGACGTTCAGTATGGGCCTGATAGCTATGCGCGATGGAGCTCTTCATCGCCGTCTCCGCCAGTTGCGAAATTCGTGCGGTCATCTGATTTTTGCACGCAAAAGCGTTACCATCCATAGACAGTCATTGCTAGTCGATCTTCGAGGAAGATTGAGCAAATCTTGTTCGAAGATCGTAGAATCACGATCCACAAACAAGCGGTTGATGTTCCTGAGGCTGCTGAAAAGGCTCAGACGGGCAATCCAAAATGGTCCAAGGACTGAATCGAGCGATTTGGCTGGGAAACCATTGCCCATCCCCCTTACAGCTCTGGCATAGCGTTTATGTAAAAGAACAGCCCAAAGATCAACGTTTCCAATAGTAAGTGTGTTTTTTCAGATAAAAAATTATTTATGCCTGAACAAATATGGGAGCCCTATTCTTGAGACAACCCTCGTATCTATACAATATTTATTATGATCTTGTGTGCCCTCTACTACTTTACGGAATTCTGGCTTGGCGGGAGTTATAAATAATAATTACAAAAAGGTTGATGTTATCCATAAGTTAATTCTAAAATTGATCCTCCATAAAGAGATTACTTATCCTCATATGGATGCTCGATTTTAGATTGAAATTTATTTCTATATTGGTCTAGTACATTATGTTAAACATTCGAAACATTTAAAGCGCATCATCCATAACTACAGAACAAGAATCAATCAAAATTCAATGTGTATTAAACAAACGTCAAAAACCATTACCCAACGACCTCTTTCTTCCTTGGGACCAAAATTCTATAACTTGATATCAGAGTCATTGAAAGCAGTTAGATATTATTTAGATCATGTGAAAAAGAACTCAGGAAATGATTTTTACAACAATCAAGATGCTCCAGCCACTAAATTGTAGATATGAAAAATCAAAATCAATAACATGTTATTTTACTGAATACTGACATATTTTTACTTTAGTTATAGTTGTCTGGATATTTTTCCTGACATGCCGGTAATAATTTATTTCACCAAATTATGTAGTATGTACGCTGTTCAGCTTCTGATCATACTTTAGTTTTTCAAACCCAAGCACAAATGCAGACTTGCTTGGGTAGTTTATGTTTGTTGTACACGAAATTTAGGATTTACCTGTACTATGGGCAATGAACATTTCCTACCTGAAAATATAGCTCGTTGCCAACCATACAGTAAATGAACAACTGCACCAGGTGGGCAATGAGGTAAGACGACATTGTAACAATTTGAGCAGTATCGACGCCATCCTGTAACAAAAGAACCCTAGAAAATAAACGTGCTTTCGTTCTTTC